TGCGGCGTACTCGTCGCGCAGGAGCGGGGACCTCCGTCGCCGCAAGCGCGCGTCTCTTGTTGGCGCAAGCGCCGGGCGCAGGGCCGACACTTGGCAATTCGTCCGTCGCAGACCGCCAGCGCACGGCACGCATCCGGGCCATCCCGTTCGCGCCCGGGCCGTTGATGGGCTCGGCACGCGACAGCGCCCGTCGACGCGCAGCACGTCTTCATCATCGGCGGGCGGGCCTCGCACGGCATTGGCCACGAGCTCGACGCCCGGGCCGGCCATGCCGACTGCCCGCCAGAATGGTCAGCTGCTCGACTCGACGCTGTCCACAGACCACGGATCGTCGTGGTCGGTCAAGAATTTTGTCGACAAGAACATGACACGGCGCGGGCGAGATGCGCGAGCACCGCAAAGGCCTCTAAACAAAACCATTGAAGAAGACTCGGGGAGCCATGTCGCTTTCAGAAACAAAGATCAGGGATCGGACCTCCCTTGCGAGGGCTCCAGGGAAACCGGACAAAAGGCCGGCCATCTGCGTCGGAGCCTCCCGCACCGACGGCCCGCATCCGAACTCGTCACCGCATCGACGGCCCAGAGGCTTAGGGCGGGGCTCCGGGCGAAGAGCGTGGTCCTTTTAAGGCGGTCGCGGCGGGGCGTCGTGCGGCAGGCGTTACATCCATCGGCCGTGCCGCAGCGGCGACGGCGGCGCGGGCGGCTGCGCCACGCCGCGCGCGCGCTGTGGGCTCCGGACTTCGTACGGCAGCCAGGACCCCCGGCCAGACTCGGGCACGGCCGTGGGCCGCGCCGCGCGCGGCGCCGTCTGCGGCCGCGGCGCCGTCTGCGGCCGCGCCGAGACCGCCACGCGCGCCGCGCGGGCGCCGGTAGCCGGCGGCGCGCGGGGCGGCGGCACCGGCGGCGTCCGGGCGGCGGTGCGCGCCGGCGGCCTCGTGGGCGCGGCGCCGCTGCGGGGCCCGCGCGCGGCGGCGGCGGCACGGGCCGTCGCGGCGGCGGCGGCGCGCGTGGCCTTGATGCGCTCGGCCGTGGTGGCGCGGCTCGGCGGCGGCACGGGCGGCGGCTGGTCCGACTGCGGTGGCCGAGGCGCGGAGAGCTCGGCCCGTAGGGGCGCACCCAGCTTCGACAGCGCCGCGGCCCTAGCCGTCCTCGCGGGCGCCGCCGGCTTGGGCGCCGCCCTCGCCACTGGCTTCGCCGGAGGCTTGGCCGGAGACTTGGCCGGAGACATTTTCGCAGACGTGACCTTTTGCGCCAACGGCGGCACGTCGGCAGCCTGGCGGTCCAGGTCCGCCGCGCGCTGCTCGAAGGCGGCGGCGGTGTCTTCTAGCGCGGCGTTGCCGTGGTCGAGGGTGCTGTCCTCGGGCGCACCCGTGTCTTCCGGAGCGGCAGCGGCGCGCCCCCGTCGCGCGGTAATGTCGGCGACAAACGCCTCGAGGCGTTCGTCGCGCGTCTCGGCAGCCGGGGATGGCAGCGCGGATTCGGCGGGCGGCGCGGCTTCGGTGGATGCGGGGAGGGCGGCGGCGGCGGGCAGCGATGCGACTCGGGGTGCGTAGGTCTCCTGCCACTGCCGTCCGACTTGAGACAGCGCACGAAGCTCGCGCGAATCCACCGCGTCGCCGGTGAACCCGCGCCTATACGCGACTTCCAGCGCCTCGAACGCGCCCGCCGGTTCGTCCGGATTCGCGTCCATCGATGGACGGATCGACGCGGAAAGCGAGCAGGAAAGTGGCCCAACGGAATTCCGTTGAAGAAAAAATCTTTGCGGCTCGAGCGCCGCGGCGGCCTTTGCCCGGGAAACCGCTTCGAGGAGAGGCGCCGCGTCTGGAAGACGCCACGCAGTGCAGGCTCGACAAAGGGTCCGCGGGTCCGGGTCCGGGTCTTCGACAAGCCCCGGACCCGGACCCGGACCCGCGTGGGCGAGGCCGGCCCGGACCCGGCCCGGACCCTACCCCGGGTCTTGCGCAGGTCCGGGTCGGAACCCTTTGTATGCTGTCGACGAGCTCAAATCATAGCGCGCCGGGTGATCCAAAAGCCCGCCCGGGCGCCGCCAAGAACGCGACACTCACCTCTGGCAGCCTGCTTATATTGCTCGCACTACTCAAATCTGGGATGTTCGACGTTTGGGAGCGGCCGCGACGTCCACCGTGCTATTTTCTTCCTCTTGAAATGCTTTTCTTACTTGGAAATCAGCGGCTTGTACTTGGACGGGTCGTCGTCGTCGCCGCCGCTGCGCGGCCCCGTCGTCTCCCAGCCGAGGCGTTCGCGGAGCTTGTTCATGCGGTCGCGGTTGGTCCCTCCGTCGCCCAGGGGCACGGAGTAGATATTTTGTGGTGGGAAGAAAAACGCAGACTCGCGAGACGCAGACCGGTAGAAGCAAAACTCCGGCGAGACCACGAACTCGAGGTCGTCGACCTACGCGCAAAGGCGTGCGGCTTTGGCGTCAGGCGGTGACCACGGACGCCGCGTTGGCGACGTCCTGCGCCCGCGCGCCCTGGATGACCGTCTGCGCCGTGGCGTGGACGTATCGCCGGCTTTCGTCAAAGTCGACGAGCTTGAGGTCGTTCGAGGATTTGATGGCTGCGACGAGCGACTGGAAGGCGCGGTCCGCGTTTGCCGTCTCTGGGGAATAGGACCACGGCGCGCCGAACTGCGACGGCGACTTTACCGCAGACGTCGAGACGCAGTTCTGCGTCGGGGTGCACGCCATCAAGCGCTCGTCTTTCGCCTGGAAAGGCCGACGTCGAGCCGCGGTTCGGCGCGGGGAGACGACACGCGTCTCACCTTGAGGCCGAACTTCATGCACGTCCGCGTGAGCAGCAACGGCGTGCCCGTGTCGCGACAGGCGCCCATGGCGAGCGGCGGTAGGCGCGCGCTCGCGGCGGCGGCGAAGAGCGACAGCGCCGCCACCGACATCGCGCCGCCCGCGGCGCGCCGCGACGCCGCGCTCGCGGGCCGCGGTGCGTCGGCGCCGCCGACGCGCTGTCGTTCGGGGAGGCGGTCCGGCGACAGCGCGGCGGCCACCGCGACGAGGAGCGCGAGGCGCGCGAGCCGCCGCGGCAGGGCCATCAAAGCTCGCGGCTGCTGCAAGCACGCCGATGCCCGGGGCCGGAGGACGCCTGCGGCGCTGTATCGAGCCGGTCGGTGCTCGTGCGGTCGTCCGCTCGAGGCAGTGGTGACGACCGTCGACCTCCCGAGTCCACTAAGTAAACTATCGCTTAAAAAGTTGAGGCGTTCAGTGTCGCGCAAATCGTTCGAGAAGGCTGCGCGACGGGCAACGGCCCGATAAACTGCATGGGCGAGTACAGTTATATTTAATCATGTACCGAACAAGGCCCAGCCTGCTCGTCGGAATCGCTGCCCGGCCGTCGGAGTCGTAGGTTTCATAGTTGAGAGAAGCCTTAGAGGCGGCTGGGCTCGCTGCGATCGCGTTGGGAAGGCGCGTCGCAGCCGGCGGTCGAGATTAGGCGCGAGTCAGGTTCTTGTTTTGAGCGACTTGCGGCCATCGGGGCAGAGACGCCGACCGCTGAGGACGTACGAGCGGCGAGCAAGTGAGCGTCGCGACCCTAAGAGCGCCCCAGGCCGATCCACAAGAGGCGACGTAAGGAGCCCGCAAGGCAGCACGACGCCCTTGGAGCTCCAAAAGTGGCCGGCGCGAATCGGACCTCTGCTTTTACCGTCCAAAGCTTTAGATTTCGTCCACTGCAGACCTAAACTACGATATTACAAGAGCGCGCCGGAGGCACACGGAGGACCCGAAGGATACAGCCAAATCCCATTGCAATGCCCACGTAAATAATTGAAATTATTTAACTAATCGCTGAACTTTCAAATCCTCCTTATCTTTATTTTTATTATTTTATTTCTTATTGAGCTATTTATTTTTTCTTTTTTTTGCGGCCGACCAGATTCGAACCTGTGACCAAAAACTTCTTCTATGATGATTCCAATGAGGCTCCTGCTCGACCTCAACTCCCAATTTTAGCAATCGCATCAACCACCAATCGCTAAATCGGCCGAGTTGCCAGGCCCTTTTCTTCCCAAAGGTGGAACCTCACGGGGACCCGGCGACAGACAAACAGACAGACCTTCTTCTATGATGATTCCAATGAGGCTCCTGCTCGACCTCAACTCCAAATTTTAGCGATCGCATCAACCACCAATCGCTAAATCGGCCGAGTTGCTGTTTTTTTCTTCCCAAGGTGGAACCTCGGATTTGCTGGGCGACGGACAGACAAACAGACAGACAAACAGACAGACAGACAGACAGACAAACAGACAGACAGACATAATTGCCCCTGGTAATCCTTCAATCAAAGGACCCGAAGGGCCCTTGCCGTAAACTGACGTTGAATAAACGGCAAGGACCCTTCGGGTCCTGAATTACATTATCACTCGGCCTAGCGGCGAAGGGCCCGGGCTTTCTTCTGGGCTTGGGCCGCCTGGGGAATTCAGGGACGGCCTGTTTGCTAACTCCTCGGCGAACGCGGCCTCGGCGGCGGCGGCGTCGGCAGGCGTGG